TTGTGCCAGAACGCTTGATGTCGGCGTAGTAGCACAAGGTAACCACCCCAAATCTCGTAAAGCTAACAGTTAGACGTGGGAGGCCTTATCCGCAAAGTCGCCATCTAGGAACCCTGACCAGGTTACTGGTGTCATGTAGGAGCTGACCGGAATAACGTGGTAATCAGGCCTGGAGTGCATGTCTAAGAATTCCCCCCCCCCTCGACAACAGTTAGCAGGGGCTTGGTGGTAAAATAAAAATCTTTAAATGCCTACGCGGAAGCCCCCGCTTGCTTCCGTACCCCTGAAACAGTGTACCCAGAATTTGAACGATTTACCATGACAGCATAGGTAGTGGCTGAGGACCCAGGCGCGTGTTTCGCCGACATTCTGCCGCTGCATGACAAATGCGAAGGGTTAAGCTTATCCGTGCCGCCCCCAAACGCTTCAGTCTCGTGCTACTGCGCACTAACCGCATTAGGTCTCGTGAACTTTACCCAAAGAATATTGGACAAATGGAAGTGGGAAGACGAAATTTCTGTCCAACAGGTTCCGTAAATTTCCGCTTTATTGCATTGAAGTTACGGAAATCTCAAAGGCACAAATTTTACAACTTATTGAAAGCTGCAATATCAATTGACTGGACGTAGTCGTCGAATTTCGTAATTTCGTCTTCGAGGAACTGAGTGTCGATCTGAAAAAGTACAAAATACATATCGAACGTCGAAACTCCAGCAAAATTAAATAATAAGTACAGTGCTACAATACCCAAAGTTCAGAAGCCAAAAACGCACCTTATCGTCTTCGACAACGCACGTAATTTGGAGCTTTTTGATACCTTGTACTACAGGTACAAGCTTTGAGGTGCCCCAAACTAGACCATCAGCAGCAACACTGCGGACACACTTTTCCATCTCCTTCATGTCTGTCTCGTCATCCCAAGGTTTGATGTCTAGGATGATGATTGACTTCGCGGTTTCCTTCTTCTTATCCTTCTTCTTCTCATTGTACGCAGCCACACGTTCAGCCCGGCGCTTCTCGGCTTCTTCCTCGTCTTCGGATCCAAAGAAATCGATATCATCGTCCTCATCATCCTTAGGGACAGCAGCCTTCGCGGGAGCTGAAATGTCAAAACAAGCTTCGAGGTTTATGACGTAACCA